AGACCAAGGCAGGGTGAGACCGAGACAAGATCAAGACCAAGGCAGGGTGAGACCGACACAAGACCAAGACCAAGACAGGGTGAGACCGACACAAGACCAAGACCAAGACAGGGTGAGACCGACCCAAGACCAAGACCAAGACCAAGGCTGGGCTAGATCAAGTCAAGATAAGAAACAAACTACACAACACTCTATAAAATGTGGAGCAAGACTGTTCTCAAGCACTACAACAGTACCTGGCAGTTCAGCGTCTGACCTCCCTGTGTTTCACTACCATTTTTGGTTTGGTACTTGATCCATGTTTGTGCTCATTCTTTTAAAGATTATAATATAGAGGCATGTTTTCCATTTTCATAGAGCTTCCTTGTCTGCCTCAATCTGCCAGTAATTACAATGTTGTGTCATTAAAAGAATACATCAGCAGGCAATTACAGTGTGTGGTGGGCAACCCAGGGACACAAAATGAATAATTGCTCATCAAATAACTACTACAGTCTTTGTATGTAGGGCACCCCAAACCACTCGTGCCAAAGCCACACCCCCTTCAGGTTACCCTCCTCACTTCTGCTGCCTATAACTGGCCATTGGACCCCACAAGACGTACATACATGCACAGACAAACAATAGACATATAAATTAAACGCAGGACTCCCCTGCTCGCCCAGACCCTTTCGCAGGGTCTGGTCTTATGTGAATCCAAGTGGGTTCAAGGTTCAAGGTGGGTCAAGGGTAACTTTATTATCCCTCAAGGGAAAATATTTTACATTTTTGTAAAATATTTTGTGATTGTATCAAAGTAGCCATTTACCTGATGCCTCGGCCAGGCCTATTATATTTGTATTTTATGGAGCAGTAATATATGGGTCATTCTCCATTTGGAGTAGGAAACCATGTCATAGGGGTTGCTGGGCTGAAAATCATGTTTGAAACATTAGCCACAGCTCCAAGAGTCAGCATGTACTTTTGCACATGTGGTGCTTGATTAAATAACATGTTTCTTTCAAGATTTGTTTGATTTTTCTAATTTTATCATGTTTCAGATTTGCTCTATACCTGTGAAGCAGCTCATTAAGCAACCACATTTCTACATTTGGCAAATATTTGAGAAACTCCTTACTTGGGTCAAGTCATCATGGCATCTCGAGCTGCTAGGTGAGTTCATACTTTTACATGTAATAAATTTATTGATAATTGTTTCTCGGGCAGCACATAATATCTTCATATCACTGATGTTATTCACTGTAAGGGCTGGGTAATTTTTGTCAAGATAATCCCATTTATCTTTCATATGTTACGGCGGGGCATGATTCTCAACAAACAGGGTTTATTAAACAAAACAGAACAGAAGTGACCATGAGGGGTCAAAACATAGCAGACTAAACAAGAACTAAAACTAACTACAAGGAAAACTAACGCTAAAACTACGACTAGGAAAACAACTGAGCAAGAAGAAGAACACTAATGACAGGAACTAACACAAATGGTAACACAACTGAACGCAACGAACAACAAGGAACAGAATGAGGACAGGCATTTAAATACACAGATAACAAGGACTACATGAGGGACAGGTGCAGACCAAGAATTAACCAAACACTAGGGTTGGGAACAAGACACAGGTGAGGGTTATAACAAGTACTTAAGGCTTCAAACACTAGGAGAAACCAGGATAACAAGACTTACAAAACTGGGTTACAAGCAGGAATAAAACAAATTTACCAAGCAAGGAACCAAGCAGAAATAGACAACAGGAATAATACAAGAACCAAAAATGAGAAATAAACACAAACATGGCGAGGCCAACTTCGAACCCGGGAGATAGGATGGGAGCTGCCTGCATAGCCCATTAAGCCACACAGCAACCAGGAGAACAAGGAAACACTAGGAACTACCAATCTGGGAAATGACAGGAACTGGGATGACCAGCAACATCTGCTGGCCAAGCGATGAAATGACACTTGGACCAAGGCAGGACAGGGACCAATCCTGACATCATAACATTGATTTTAAATAGTTGCCAAGGTCACCTTACAGTTCCTGGGAATGCACATGGCAGACATCCTCTCCTGGACCCTGTT